CTGGGGAATTTCCTTGTATTACTTCTTTGATAGTCACCTTTCATCATCATAATATGTTCCATAGTCTACTTTTAAATTTTTCTCCTAGATAGATATTGTGCCTTCTTGATAGCTTCTCTACCCCTTAGCCCCTCCTGTTTTTCCATTTTTTCTTGGAATATGAACTCAGATGTTTTAGCATTCCAATCGTCTTTTGGACTTCTTTGGAATTTCTATCACCACCCTTTTATTTTTTAAGAACACTTTCTTGGTTTTTGCTTATTTTTAGCAGTTATCTTTTCATTTCACGGAAATAACGCCTTCTTCAGATTAATTATCAACTTTTAAAATAAATTCCTCTCTTCATTTTTACATAAATGTTGTGCTCATTTCTTTCATGTCCAGTTATTGTTATTATATTTCTTCAAATGTCTAATAACTGGGCTATTCATTCATATTTAAGAATAAGCCAAAAACAAACTCACCACCATGGAGTCAGTTCTGACTCATAGTGGCCCTATGGGGCTGGGTAGAATGGCCCTGTGGGTTTCTGAGACTGTCACTCTTTACCGAAACAGAATGCCTCATCCATCTCCCAGAGAGTGGCTGGTGGTTCTGATTCGAATTGCTGACCTTGCGGTTAGCTGCCCAACATGTAAATGCTATGTTATTATGCATATAATAGTCACTTTAATGTATAGTGACTGAGAATGAATCAGGATATTTTGGGAGTAGCTATCTGAATGGCCTCATCCATAGGTACTTGCTCTGACACCAGTCAACAATAGCTGAAGATTATAAATTTGGTTGCCAGCACTTTAGAAACAAACTGGACAGTAGAAGATGGGATGGGGGATCTTAGCACTTAGGACTTGTGATGTTTAACACTCTACGTCTGCCTTGAGTATTCCTGCGCTTTCAGCCTGCGCCATCTATATCAAATATCTCTGCGGGATAAGCTGCCTACGGGCAAGCAGGGTCACTGACTGAGGACATGTGGGGTGGGATTGAGTTGGAAAGGTTCGACAGTGTCTTCTACAACTTTCGACTGGTTCTTCTACTTTCTGTTCCATCACCAATCTTGTCCTTCCAGAATTAGTAAATCTAATTCAAGTGTGATGAGAATCTATTCCCATCATGTTGGTGCCCCTCGGCCTACATTTAAATTTTGGCTTATTTTACTCTGCCAAATCTGCTTCACTTTCCCACATGGTTGCTGCCATAGCTTTTCTGCTCTATTTCTCTCATTTATTTTGTCTTTCTGTATTTTTGCTTCCATCTATTTATTTTTAAACATTCTTTTAGGAGAATTTAAAAGTGAATAAATCCATGTGTCAAATTTGCTGAAATATTTGGCTGGAAACTTGGCCTTCCTATCTTTTCACTGCTATAGAAATTGAGATCCATAGAAGCCATGTGATTACCACCCCACCCCACCCTCACAAACAGTCTCAATCATGGTAACTGGCATAGCAGGCTCTGGAGACAGAAATTATGATTACATCATAATGAGATTAATAGCCACATCTAAAGTCATTTGAAATATTCAAATTATAGATTTTGATTTCACATTTCTGAGGACAAGATACAAGTTTAATAATTTCTTGTAGAAATCCAATCTTGCTCAGTTGCATCAGTAAAAAAGGACTTACTGTGAAACATGCTACTAAAGTCTCAACTCATGTTATATTTTTCCTGTGTTCTTCAATGTGTAAACAGAAATTTCTGCTCATTAGCATCATACATCAGACTTACCTGTGAAGAATAGATGCCGGGCAAATGATGGTGAGATCTTATTACTTGCTGACATCAAGTTAGTTCTGTCTCACAACCACAGTACAACAGAATGAAGCACCACCCAATCCTGTGCCATCCCATACTTATTGTTATGTTTGAGCTCATTTGGCAAAAGTTTGCCCCCACTGTGCCAATCCATCCTGTCCAGGACCTTTCTCTTTTCTTTTAACTCCCTGCTTTGCCAAGAATGCTATCCTTTCCTGTGAACTATTCCCTCCCAATAATATGTCCAAAGTAAGTGAGACAAAATCTTGTCCTCATCACTTATCAGGAGCAATGCAGCTGTACTTCTTCCAAGACAGACTTGTTTGTTCTTCTGGCAGTGCATGGCATAGTTAACATTCCTCACCAAGACACCAGCTCTTCTCCAGTCTGCCATATTCCTTGCCCAAAATCCACATGCATATGAGGCAATTGAACACATAAGGACAGGAGTCAGGACAAGTAGTCCTCCACGTGACATCTTTACCTTTAAAGAGGTCTTTTGGAAAAATTTGGCCGATGTTATCCATTGTTTGTTTTCTTGACTGCTGCTTCCATGAGTGTTAACTGTGGATCGAAGGGAAATTAAATCTTTGAATGCTTTAATCTTCTTGGCTTATCATGATGCTGACTGTAATAAGCATCATTGATGATTGGCTCAGTTACGAGGATTGTTGTTGTCTTTGCATGAGATGGGATCCACACTGAAGGCTGTAGTCTTTGATCTTCACCAACAACTGCTTCAAATCCTCTTCTCTTTCAACAACTAGGTAGAGATTTTGGTAACTAAGCCTTGTTTAGATTGATTAGCTTTCAAAGTACTACCTTTAAGTACTTTTTAAAAAAAGTCATTGTACTGGGGGCTCTTACAGCTGTTAACACAATCCATCCATCCATCCATTGTGTCAAGCACTTTTGTACATATGCTGCCATCATCATTTTCCAAAATATTTCTTCCTATTTGAGCGCTTGGTATCAACTCATTTTCCCCTCCCTCCCCTCCCCTCCCTTTCTCATGAACTCTTGATAAATTATAAATGATCATTATTTTCATAATGTACATCATCCACTGTCTCCCTTCACCTACTTTTCTGTTGTTCGTCCCCCTTGGGAGTGGGGGTGTTATATGTCAATCATTGTGATCAGTTTCTTTTGCTTTTTTATGTTTAGTTTGGAAGGACTTTTTATGTTCTTGATTTGAATTTGGGTTTACATAGATTTTGTTGTTATTGTTTTCCGATTTATTATTTTAGATCAAATACTTAGCTTGTTTCCGTATGCTGTCGGAAAGTGTTTGACATGTTTGATGTCAGCTCAGTGCACAGAAGGTCTATGTAGAGATAAGGATTTGGCTGACTGGACCAAGCCACTGGGCTTTCACCTCAGTCATCTCTCAGTGAACCCATATGATAGGTAGTCAAACTAATGAGGAAAACTTCTCTTTCAAAAAACGACACCTATGATTTTTTTTACTATGATAAACTACTCAGGAGAAGATGGATGAAATCATAAGAAATGTTTTTAACAACGCTGGTTGCAGGAATGAAAAATATAATGGGTATTTTCCCTAATAAGCAACAATCAAGCAGCTGAGTGGTGGTTAGAGAAACAAATGGCCTTCGAACTCCCCCTTGGAAAATCCAAGGGGCAGTTTTTTCCTGCCTGGGAGGGTTATTATGAGTTGGAATCAACTTGATGGCTGCAGGTCTGGTCCGGGTTCTGTCTTTAATAATGTAAGAAGCCCTGGGAGTGCTTCCAGGTGAGCACTGGGCTTCTAACCACACCTTTCTCCACCGTAGAAAGATGAGGTTGTTTGTTCCCATAAAGATTTACAGCCTTACAAACCTCATATAGGGCCACTTTGAGTAAGAATCAACTTGATGGCGGTGAGTTTGGGTTGGTTTGGATAATGCGATTATTTTCTCAATAAGCTACATGGATCTCTTTGGGAAATGGAGGGAGGAAATGGATGCAATCTAGTATATTTTTCCCCTCTGAATTGGATGTATTGAGATTTTTTAATTGTTCATTGTTCTTTCTGTGTGCCGTTGAGTCAATTCAGTCTCAGAGCAACCCTATCCAACAGGTTGTAGTGCTTCAGGGAGCACAACTCCAGGTCTTTTGTCCGACAGAGCGGCTACCTTCAAATCACTGACCTTTGAAGTTAGCAGCTGAGAGTGGAACCATTGTGCCAACATGGTTTCTTTATGGAAATACAGTGCTAATCATAGGTGTACAACGCCATGAGCTTTCACATGTGTGTATATCTGTGTGATGGTACTGTCAAGAAAGCGATCATTTCTAGAACTCCAAAAAGTTGCCACCTGTCCTGTCCATTCTAGTGAACAAGGTAATCACTATTCTGGCTTCTAAACCAACAGATTAGATTCACAGGTTCTGAACTTTATAACCATAACAATCATAACTTTTGTTTCTGCCTTCTTATCTTTCCCCCTCCCAAATATAAATATAAAATGTGCTCTGATGTATAGCTGGCATTTATTCTCTCTTTACCTGTGGTTATTTAGCGTGCCAGTGCTTGTATATTTCACAATTCATTAACGTATTCCTTTTGATGGGCATTTGGGTTGTTGTTTCTGATTGGAGTTACTATAACTATAGCTGCTATGAACCTTTTTGCACATCTCATTTTCTGGACATATGCACTCATTCCTCTTGACTACTTATCTAGGAATAAAGTAAGCATATGCTTAGTTTAATATATATTGCCAAACAGTTTCCCAAAGGGGGCTTGCTTTCATTCACTTTCACCAATGTAGCTGTTTCAGTGATTCTACCAATATCTGTTGGAAATATCTGCAGATTGCCAAGTTATTCCATCTGGTTTTTGTGCGTTGAGTTTAAATTAAGTCATATCGACAGAAACGTCTTGAATTTAATTATTACTATTGGACACTTTCAGAAACCCTCGTGGTATAATAAGTTGAGTTGGACTGCTTTTCTCAAGGTGGGGAATCTCAAGAGGGGAAGAGAGGAGGGGAGACCAATCAGTTGCTGCCATACAACAGTGTCCTAAAGTCACCCCAAATCAGCAGACTCACCTACCACAATCATGAGCAATCCTCACTGAAAATTCAAGCCAAAAGGTGGAGGAGAACATGTCTGTCTCAGAGAAGGCGATTACAACTTCTGTTATTGGGTAAACCAACTGAGGCAACCTGCTATAAAGTGTGTGTGTTCAGGTTGCAAAATACTTTTTAACAATACTTTTATGAGTCAAGATGGAGGAGTATGCGTGAGAACCTTGCCCCTGGTGCATCGTGGAGGACTGCGGTGGAGCCTTCACCATGGGCACCATAGGTGGTGGAATCTTCCAAGCCATCAAAGGTTTTTGGAATTCGCCAGTGGGAGTCAACCATAGACTACGAGGGAGTCTGACAGCCATTAAGACCAGGGCGCCACAATTGGGAGGCAGCTTTGCAGTTTGGGGAGGTCTGTTTTCCATGATTGACTGCAGTATGGTTCAAGTCCGAGGCAAAGAAGATCCCTGGAACTCCATCACAAGTGGTGTCTTAACAGGAGCCATCCTGGTGGCAAGAAATGGACCAGTGGCCATGGTTGGGTCAGCTGCAATGGGTGGCATTCTCCTGGCTTTAATTGAAGGAGCTGGTATCTTGTTGACAAGATTTGCCTCCGCACAGTTTCCCAATGGTCCTCAGTTTGCTGAAGATCCCTCCCAGTTGCCGTCAACCCAGTTACCATCCTCACCTTTTGGAGACTATCGGCAATGCCAGTAAGGACTGCTGCCCCTGGATTTAGGCGAAAGAGCTATAGTTCAAGAAGGATTTGGGAAGACCAAG